TCAGCCCGCGCTTTTTCGATCGGAGAGGGACTCGGCGGACGCGCGCGAGACGGCAACGTCACACCCCCCACTCCCAAGAGAAACCGTACCGGCGTCAATCACCCGCCGCAGCCACTATTCCGATCTTCCGTATTTCGAATCGGGCGTCGGCGAGCGACCGGAACCTCCAGAGTAACGGCGACAACACAAAGCGGACAATTCACCACACATTCGAAACAACAAAACTGACGCGACCATTTCGGGAGTCAATGTGTGCGTGTGTGTGTGTGTGTGTTAATGATAAACTATTATATAATCGTCTATTATATAAAACGTCATAAGGTCGCCGCTCGACTTTGCATGTATTCCGAAATGTGCTGACAGTATTAAAAATCTATAGTATATGTGACGTAAAAGTTATAGTATAGATTCTCAATACTGTCGGCATATTTCGGAATGCACCCATTATTTCGAACATGCGCTCATATACATATTTCGATATGTGCGCACAATCCGGCGCAGAGCGTATTGTTGCATCATTATTTGCTCGTGAATGTGGTTTGAGAAACACGTGGTGCTGTGTAAGGAATAACTTTATTATATATTTTCATATTTATATCTTTGATATTTTTTATTTGGTGACATATTTGTGATACGAGTGCAAAAAAACACCACTAAATGATGAATTGTGATAATAATAATACATCACGTCCTAGTTGTGCAAGTTCGAGCCAATCTTCTAGTTTGGTATGTATACTTTAATTATGTGTATATTATATTGCAATTACTTGTTATATACTAGTATTATTTATAATAAACTTCTCATACGTTACATATTTTCTAACACATATTGTATCATAAACAAAAAGTTACAAATTGAAGTATAATCGATTTTTAGGTTAGTACCGGTATAATATTTTACTGAGTTCAGATTTAGATATTTTTAATATACGCAGTAATTATTTTTTCCGTTTACCCAAAAATAAGTTAAACGTGATATTTATAAAATCTTTTATCTTTATATATATCTGAAATATTGAAAATTACACTCTCTGAAATTATATAGGTCTGTTTTGTAAATCTGCTAACGAAATATCAAATAAGAATATATGTATAATATATGTAGATTATTTTTATTCCGCAATATTTATCTATACGTATTCTTTGTTTATTTATAAGTACCGAAAAGGAAAACGAAAGAATTATCAAAGGTTACAAATAGACATTTTCGTAGAATCGTTTATAATGAATACTGTAAGACCAGAGAGCAACGACATGATAAAATACAGCACTCTTTTTGTAATACTCTTGAAAATATTTCAAACACGTCTTATACAAACAATAATGCTCATGAATATAAGAATGTTAATTCAGTTTGCAATTTTCCTAAATTAATCAAACCAACATATTTTAACATTGATAGAGATATATTTCAGTCACAGAATAAAATTACTTTAGCAGATAAATCGCTCATTGGATTATTAAAAATAATATCTCGCATAATTCTGCAAATGAGTTATTATCAATAATGAAATCAGAAAATTTGCTTGTTCCAAAAGATTGTAGGGCATTGTTAAAAACTCCTTCAATATGTAATGATATTGTAAATATGCCACCTGGTGCGTACATACATCTAGGTATTGAAAAAGGCATATTTAAAAAAATACATAAGAATATATTAACAGATAATTTGGAAATCCTTCCAGTAACAATTAATATTGATGGCTTACCGTTGAGTAAATCATCAAAGAGTCAATTTTGGCCTATTTTAATGTCAATAGATATATTAGAAATTTCAGAATCTTTTATTGTAGGCATTTATCACGGATTTAAAAAACCAGAGTCAATAATTAATTTTTTGGATGAATTTGTGAAAGAATATTTGTTTTTAAGAAAGAATGGTATTATTATAAACAATAAATTAGTTAGATCGATATTTAAAAAAATTATTTGTGATACACCTGCTATGGCATATGTTCTTTCAATAAAATCTCATACAGGATATTTTGGTTGTAATAAATATACACAAAAAGGTAAATTTTTTAGAGGCAGAATGACATTTCCAGAACTTGATGCTACATTAAGGACCGATAATAGTTTCGCATTGCAATCACAACAAGAGCATCATAAAGGTTCTACCTCTTTAGAAAAGATAGGTATCGGTTTAGTCAGTAACGTGCCGCTCGATTATATGCACTTAGTATGCCTTGGTGTAATGAAAACACTTATAATGTTTTGGATTGGAAAAAAGGGAAATAATCGTTTCAAGCTAATAAATGACTATGATATAAAATTAATATCAAAGATTATGAAAATTTTCCGAAAATATATCTCTGAAGAGTTTTGTCGTCTACCAAGATCTATAGAAAATGTAGAACATTGGAAAGCAACAGAATTTAGACAATTTCTATTATATACAGGTCCCGTTGCATTGAAAGGAAAATTGCCTAAAATGCAATATAAACATTTCTTATGCTTACATATCGCTATAAGAATTTTGTGTTCATCAAAATGTATCAGGCTTAATGCATATGCAAGATCTTTAATTCGATATTTTGTTGAAAAGTACAAAAAAATATATGGTAATGAATATATTACATATAACGTGCACAATCTTTTGCATCTTTGTGATGATGTATTATTATTTGGAAAAGTTGATAATTTTAGTGCATTTAAATTTGAAAATTATATGAGTAAAATAAAAAGAAAAATGAAAAATTCACGGTATCCTTTGCAACAAATATACAATAGAGTTGTTGAAGATAGAAAATGTCTAACATCTGTTAACATGTTTAATTTGCCTGAAGAAGATGATAAACCTTTAGTAAGTAATGAAAATGGGAAAATTTATAGATACTATAAAAAACTTTCTCATGACAAATTTACAATATCATTATGTCAAAGGAATAATTGTGTTCTTTTAAGGAATTCTAGTTATATGCTTATTTCAAATATTTATAAAAATGAAAATGATGATATAAAAATAGTTGGAAAAATTTTCCAAAATGTATCTCATTTTATAGAAAAGCCTTCGTTTAGTTTAGCTATAAAAGTCATTGATATACATGAAATATCAAATATATCAACTTTCGATTGTAAAGATATTAAAGCAAAATGTTTAATCTTACCAATGAATGATAAATTTGCAATAATTCCATTATTACATAATAATTTGTAATATTTATTGCGTACTAAAAAGCATTACGTGATATGCTCATGTAAAATTTAAATATTATTTTATTATTGTGATAATTTTTTTTAATTTATGCTTATATTAAATATATATGTTATTTGTACAGTTTTCTTCATAAAATTACTAATTTAATACTGATACTATATGCAAAATAACATCAGTAATTAATACTCTCTCTCTGGTCTTTCAAGATAATATTTGCGATTGTTGTTATAAAAAATTAATGATAAAATAAATTCAAATATCACATTTCCAAACAATATTTTCTGCAGCATGATCTAATTTATTCAGTTGTCAAATTTCATACTGAATATGACGAAGATGAAACATATTCTGTTATCCCAACATTATGGTTAAGAGAAGATGATAAGTATTCTTATTGGCCAAGAAAGGATATACGTAATTGTATTATAAAATGTAAAAAACCACAAAATGATTGGATAATTTGCCGAGTTACTGTACTTGCTAAATACGGTATGTATCGAACATTGGAAAGCAACAGAATTTAGACAATTTCTATTATATACAGGTCCCGTTGCATTGAAAGGAAAATTGCCTAAAATGCAATATAAACATTTCTTATGCTTACATATCGCTATAAGAATTTTGTGTTCATCAAAATGTATCAGGCTTAATGCATATGCAAGATCTTTAATTCGATATTTTGTTGAAAAGTACAAAAAAATATATGGTAATGAATATATTACATATAACGTGCACAATCTTTTGCATCTTTGTGATGATGTATTATTATTTGGAAAAGTTGATAATTTTAGTGCATTTAAATTTGAAAATTATATGAGTAAAATAAAAAGAAAAATGAAAAATTCACGGTATCCTTTGCAACAAATATACAATAGAGTTGTTGAAGATAGAAAATGTCTAACATCTGTTAACATGTTTAATTTGCCTGAAGAAGATGATAAACCTTTAGTAAGTAATGAAAATGGGAAAATTTATAGATACTATAAAAAACTTTCTCATGACAAATTTACAATATCATTATGTCAAAGGAATAATTGTGTTCTTTTAAGGAATTCTAGTTATATGCTTATTTCAAATATTTATAAAAATGAAAATGATGATATAAAAATAGTTGGAAAAATTTTCCAAAATGTATCTCATTTTATAGAAAAGCCTTCGTTTAGTTTAGCTATAAAAGTCATTGATATACATGAAATATCAAATATATCAACTTTCGATTGTAAAGATATTAAAGCAAAATGTTTAATCTTACCAATGAATGATAAATTTGCAATAATTCCATTATTACATAATAATTTGTAATATTTATTGCGTACTAAAAAGCATTACGTGATATGCTCATGTAAAATTTAAATATTATTTTATTATTGTGATAATTTTTTTTAATTTATGCTTATATTAAATATATATGTTATTTGTACAGTTTTCTTCATAAAATTACTAATTTAATACTGATACTATATGCAAAATAACATCAGTAATTAATACTCTCTCTCTGGTCTTTCAAGATAATATTTGCGATTGTTGTTATAAAAAATTAATGATAAAATAAATTCAAATATCACATTTCCAAACAATATTTTCTGCAGCATGATCTAATTTATTCAGTTGTCAAATTTCATACTGAATATGACGAAGATGAAACATATTCTGTTATCCCAACATTATGGTTAAGAGAAGATGATAAGTATTCTTATTGGCCAAGAAAGGATATACGTAATTGTATTATAAAATGTAAAAAACCACAAAATGATTGGATAATTTGCCGAGTTACTGTACTTGCTAAATACGGTATGTATCTATAATTAATAATAAAAAGCAATATATATATTGCTAATAGTTGCGAATAGTTTAATGAAAAGTTTAGCGGATAACTGCGTACAAAATATTAACATTTTGAAAAAAAAAATTTCTTAGATTCATACGAACATGCTCTACAGAAGGAGAAAAGATTAATGGAAGAAAAAAGCAATACCGAATCGGAATCTCAATTAGGTCGTGGATTTAGGAAAAAAAAAAATTCACATCGCATTTCAAAAGAAAAGGGTATAAAAATTTTATTTGATAAAATATATTAAAAGGCTTTTGTCTTTGATAAATGTATATACAATTATTCACTTAGGTGTTATTTTGTTTTCATATAAGAAAATACTAAAGATATTTTTTAGAAAATATCAGGTAATAATAAATATAGATAATATTTTTCAGATAATTCGAGTAATTCGAGTGCAAACGAAATCAGCGACAATGATTCTATTCCCGAATTAAATAACAATTTACACGAACAAGGTATAACCGATATTTTACATTTTATTTTTTTACATTTTTTCATTTATAAGAAAATATATTTATAAAATAAAAGTAATATTTTCATAAAAAATGTGTTTTCTAGATGATGATGTCAATCAAAATATTGGTCATAATGATCCACATATCCTACATATGGATGAGATTCCAATTGTCATAGAAGTAGAAAACAATATTATTCCTACAAAAGATGGTACTATTTCTACATGCAATCATAATAAAAGTTATAATATCTATTATATTTATACTTTATCCAACAATCCCAACAAATTATTGTTAAAAATTTTGCTATTACAGCTACTGAAACTCTCGATTCCATATTACGATGTGTTCTTGAAATAAAACTAATGTGTAGACGAATAGACGAGCGTTTACATGTTTTGGAAAATAATGGTAATAATTTAAATATTCATCGTAATATTGATATGCTTCCACAATTACCAATGGATTGTATTGAACACATTAATAATTTAGAAATTATATTAGCATCTGAGGAAGCACAATCACAGCTGGTATGTATACAATACATTTTTATCTTTTTTTAAAAAATATAACATATTAACATTATGAATATGATTTATTAGTAATATTTTATGGTAGGTTAATATGTTAATCATGATTGGTGGTACTACATCAAAAGATGCAATGAAAAGAGTATTGCAAAAATTATTTACAAATAATCTCGCTTCCAAGTGCTCTTGGACTGGAGCTAAAAATAATTTTAAATTAAAAGATTTAAAAATGATTATTTGCATGAAAAGTAAGTTGCATACAATATCATTTATATTTGTCTATTATTTAATATCTATTTTTGATCTATATTACTTTTTAATTAATAAATCTTATATATATCCATTTTTTTAGATGCCATAAAAAACATTTGTTCCACTATAACAGAAGCACAATTTGAAGAGATTTTAAAAGCATGGTTTAGACAAGCAAATTTGCGGTTAAATCGTGAAAATGTCAGGAATAATGCAAGAAACGATAATGCGAGAAACGATATATAATGTTTTTATTTCTATTTTCAAAAAAATGTTATTTTATTTTTATTTCACGTTTTTGTTTTCATATAGCATTTAATTTAATATACGGAATTAATTAATTCAAATTAAAATAACATATAATTCATATAATGTTAAAATTATAAAATACTTATTTTTATAACACATAAATTAAGTTCCTAATTTTATAAATTTTTTTTGCAATTCACCAAAGTTAGATTAATATAATATTTATTTAATACAATAGTTTTGTTATTAAGTATTAATTTATAATTCTTTTAGAATGTAATGTCATAATTTTCATTATATTTTGGACAAGTTTTTTTTTTAATACAGTATTATAGAGAAGTAGCTAAAGATTCACCAATTTTATACGTCATCTTATATTAGAGAAATGTCGTCATTTTAACGTCACTTTTACGTCGTTTCAAAGGTGAATTTGATGTAACCAGTGACTAAAAAACGACGTTATAATGACGACACCTTGTTACCTAGGATACGAGATCATACATAATTATATATAATCATATATAATTATATATAATCATATATATTTGTATATATTTATATATGAGCATATTTCATATATAATTGCAAACTTTGTGGAAAGAGTTAAAAAATTAACAAAACTATATTCTTCAATTATTTTCAGGTGAAATTTATTTGAGAGAGAGAGAGGAAAAGGGAGAGAGGGAAAGGAACAGGGAGAAAGAGAGAATTTTAATTTTAAAACTTGATGATCTTCCATGACATTTTCGTTGACGGAAAATCCAAATGACTTCAAAAATTTGTCATTAGCAAATGATGTATCAACTCTGGGACACTGTGAGTGTCTGTGTGTGTGTGAAAGCACATAAAATTTTACAGTATTCATTCATTATTAGCGCAGATTCATTAGTGGCAAGAAATCCGAGTAAACATCGTTATATTATTGTATATAAGTACAACGGAACTGAATATTATAATACGTAAATAATATTGCAGAAGTGTTACCGATAAGCTATTGCCCACTCGGCATGTAATATTTCTGATACATTGCTGCAATATTCCATTTGAAATATTACACCTTTCAACAATATTACAGAAATATTTCACGACCGTTTCTGCAACATTTCTGCAATGTTTCAATGTCCGCAATCATTTCAAATGCAACCTTGCTAAAAGATTTCAGCAATATTTCGGTAATATTACTGAAATATTTCTAAAACATATCCCAAGTAGCAAACTGACGTAATAATGACGGTAAATTTTGGTCACAAAATGACCACTTAGACATCCTAACT